CATTTCTGCCTGACTTACTTGTAGTTGATTAGTATTTAAATAAATGAGTGGACATATGAATAAGTGAAGTGCCCTCTCATAATAGGCCACTTAGCGCCTGTCTTATCCCCACACACCCAAGGTATATGTGTATTCATAAGGGCCTGATAAGGACAGTATGCCTTCCTTTGTAGCATGACCAAACCAGGTGAGTTGACAGAGAAATCTCCTGACAGGTGAGTGGTAGAAGATTGCAGATAAACAATGAATGTTTCTGATGATTTGACATCTGGGAATTTGCTGCCCCTGGAGAGACTGCTCCTCCCAGAGCTAGCCAATCCTAGAGATAATAAACAATTCACCTGATAGAGTTTCTTTCATATGCAAACCAACATGTCCATTCTTTATACCCCAACCACTTCCTTTACTGAGCTCTCATAAGACTCTCAATCGAATTCTGGGACACAGTCCATTTGCTCTAATAACACCAGGGCCAGGTTCAAGGCAACTAAGGACAGTTTCTATAACCCAGAGTCTGCTGAAATTATTTATATCAGTCCATCCTCCTGCTTACCCTGCCTTGACTGTTCCTTCCCACAAAAGCCACAATGAAGGCCCTTGCCCATATTTCCCCCTTAGTCCTTCTGTCTCTTGACCAGTCCTGGTGCTTCCCCACGTGGTTCTTTGTGACAGAGCTGTTCCCTCCTCTTGGGAACTGTGAGTAACAAGCTCTCTTTTCAGTGGCGATCATCTCCTGATCTGTTGGCTTCACCATACCTGGGTGATAATAAAGCTTACATTTTACAAGTTATAGTTATTTCAAGGGAGAACGGGGTAGAGATCAGTGGTAGAGCACATACATAGCAGGAGTGAGGCCCTGGATTCAGCTCCCAGTACCTCCATGTTTGATAAAACCAAAACAACTTTTAAAGTTTCAACTATTTCTCCAATCTCAGGTGTGAGAGCCCGCCCCCCACGCTAATTCTTTTAAGACCCTGAAGGAAATCTCTCCTTTGCTATATGTTCAGACGATTAGAGAAATGATTGTTATCCAGAAAAGGCAAGGTAGAATTAAATTTAAAAAATGAAAGTAATGACTGAGACTTTCCTGGTAATCCAGGGGTTAAGACTTCACCCTCTAATACAGGGGGTACAGGTTCAATCCCTGGTTGGGAGGATCCTACATGCCTTGGGGCCAAAACACCAGAACATAAAACAGAAGCAATGTTGTAACAAATTCAATAAAGACTTTACACAAATGGCCCACATCAGAAAAAGTCTTCAAAAAAAGTAATGACAAGCCTTATTTAATATATGTTGTCACTTTGAGATCTTGGGGAAAAAAAAAAAGATCCTATGAATTATTATTGTATTATCCATGATGAATGGAAGTTCTAAGATAGAAAGTGGTTTTTCCAAGGTCACAGAGTCACAGACACAGAGAGGTGAGTCTCAAATACAAACTTTACTGGCATTCCTCTGACTCATGCTGCTCCCACTCCTTCCGTCTGTCATAGTCTTCTAAACCATCCAATAGCTTTTACAAAGTATTGTATAACATCACCACTTCCTTCATAATTTAAGGAAAAAAATAAGGCAGTCTTGCCAACTAGGACTAATGAATGGTTCCACAGTGAAAAATAGCTGTGACATATTAATATTTAGATATTTCAACAATCATACAGCCTTGGGGAAAGGAATATAGAGTCTTAGGAAGATAATTACACAAAGAGAGGATCTACAGATGACAGAAGTTTCTAGTACTAAGTCTGATCTTTAGTGAATGAACAAGGACCTTTAGAAGTTTCTTCTTTCTAGAGAAGTTCCATTCTTTGCTCATAAGTCCATGGTGGCTCAGACGGTAAAGAATCTACCTGCAAAGCAGGAGACCCAGGTTCAGTCCCTGGGTTGGGAAGATCCCCTGGAAAAGGGAATGGCTGCCCATTCCAGTATTCTTGCCTAGAGAGTTCCACGGACAGAGGAGTCTGGCAGGCTACAGTCTATGTGGTCGCAAAGAGTCAGACGTAACTGAGCAACTAACACTTTAACATACGAAGAACAAGATTGGCCATGAAGGAGACAGACAAGAATATCTTTCAGTTTTGGAGAAACATAAACCTAAAAGGAATAATTAAATACCATAAGATAAAAAGAAACGCACAAAGTACAAAGTATAATGAAATTGCTATTGAAGGTCATCAAGAGAAAAATACCCTGTAAAGAAGTTAAGATCTGTGTAGTCAATGCTGACCATAGTTATTGGCGGGAAGACTTCAGGTAAAATAATTGAAAAATGAACCCAATATTGAACAGAATATAGCTCATGGAAATTTATGTGTTCAGTTCAGTTCAGTTCATTTCAGTCGCTCAGTCGTGTCTGACTCTTTGCGACCCCATGAATTGCAGCACACCAGGCCTCCCTGTCCATCACCAACTCCTGGGGTCCACCCAAACCCATGTCCATTGAGTCGGTGATGCCATCCAGCCATCTCATCCTCTGTCGTCTCCCTCTCCTCCTGCCCCCAACCCCTTCCAGCATCAGGGTCTTATCCAATGCGTCAACTCTTCACATGAGGTGGCCAAAGTACTGGAGTTTCAGCTTCAGCATCAGTCCTTTCAATGAACACCCAGGATTGATCTCCTTTAGGACGGACTGGTTGGATCTCCTTGCAGTCCTAGGGACTTTCAAGAGTCTTCTCCAACACCACACTTCAAAAGCATCAGTTTTCCGGTGCTCAGCTTTCTTCACAGTCCAACTCTCACATCCATACATGACCACTGGAAAAACCATAGCCTTGACCAGATGGACCTTTGTTGGCAAAGTAATGTCTCTGCTTTTTAATATGCTATCTAGGTTGGTCATAAGTATCCTTCCAAGGAGTAAGCATCTTCTAATTTCATGGCTGCAATCACCATCTGCAGTGATTTTGGAGCTCCCAAAAATAAAGTCTGACACTGCTGCCACTGTCTCCCCATCTATTTCCCATGAAGTGATGGGATCAGATGCCATGATCTTAGTTTTCTGAATGTTAAGCTTTAAGCCAACTTTTTCACTCTCCTCTTTCACTTTCATCAAGAGGCTTTTTAGTTCCTCTTCACTTTCTGCCATAAGGGTGGTATCATCTGCATATCTGAGGTTATTGATATTTCTCCCGGCAATCTTGATTCCAGCTTGTGCTTCTTCCAGCCCAGTGTTTCTCATGATGTACTCTGCATATAAGTTAAATAAGCAGGGTGGCAATATACAGCCTTGACGTACTCCTTTTCCTATTTGGAACCAGTCTGTTGGTCCAGTGTTAGCATTTACCAAATACCTACAAGGGTTTGGAATCCCATTCTTATAAGCAAAAGAGAGGGAATGTTGACAAAAGAGGAAAAGGGAAAATAATAAAGTCAATCAAATTTTTTAAAAAGGTGAAAAGTTTGGATTATGAGGAGTATGGAAGAAAGAAGACAGGTTAAGAAGGTTTAAGAGCAATCAGCAAGGAGTTAGAGGTACTATTTAGAGATGGTGATTGGCAGCCATTAGGAATTTCCATGCAGTATAAGTTAGAAGAAAGAGCTTGTGTGGTTAGTAGACCTCAGCAGGATATCAGGAAGAATTTCCTGATGGTAAATGTCAAGAGTTCTGGTTCGGAGGATCAAAGGGCAGCTTCTGGGATGTGCCTATCCCAGGCATATTTTTCAGCCTCAAGAAGGAGACTGTTTGGGTGGTTTTCAGCAGCCCTGTGGATGGATGGGTCTGCCTCCTTGGAATCCACTGGTCTCATGTTGCCGAGGGGCGTGCCCTCCACAGCTGCTTTCATGGACTCCCAGCCAGCAGCCAACTCCCAGCTCACAGGCCATGGAGTTTTCCCCCAAGAAAGGAACAACTAAGTCTTTCAGAGTCTATTCCCCACTTGGACCAGCCCTTAGGTATACACTGTGGTTTTTCAGCTCTTCAGCACTTAGGCACTTTCCTTCAGAGCCAAAAGCCCTCCTGGGAACAATGCAGCATTTGTGTGTTGACAGTAACAGCCTGTGGGCCAGAGACACTCAGCCAAACTCTCCCTCTGTCCCACATGGTCTGGATCATACACCTCATCAGCAATAATCCACACTCAGTTAGCCCCAGCTTGCCCCTAAGGACCAAGCGCCCCACTTCTCTTCCCCTCCGTTCCCCAACTTCTTACCTAGTTCAATCCCCAGCTCCACTACCATGTTTATCCCAATGGTCATGCAGGATGATCTCCACCAGCTCCCATCCCACCCACGGGGAACAATGACACAGAAGTGGCTCATGGCCTGACCCTAAACAGTAGGCACTGAAGAGGGAGGTCCACTCTGCTGAGCTGGGCAGTGGGGTATTTACAAGATGTTAGGTCTGCAAAGAGATGCCAGTCTTTTCCTATAAGATAGGGCTTTTTATTTATCATGCAGTTGTTGACTCATATGGGGAGTTAGGAATGCGATTGTACACGGTCTGTTTCTGCTGAGTTCAGAGACTCGGAAATATTGTTTGACTTCTGGCATGAAGACAATTCCAGAAATGTGTTTAAAACCATGTTTGTGTCCTTGGCTCTGAGTCAGAGAGGGACAAGGGCTTATGAAGAGTAGGGTTTCAACTCTTAGGCAACCCTACAAGATGTTGGATGTTTCAATATTAAATGACCCATCAGAACAATTTCCCTCTAGGAATGCTCCCTGTCCCCTCATCTCCCCCCACCTCCCACTTCACAGCAAGAGTGCAGTGTTTCTCCTAAAACCTCCATCCAGTGTATGGGTCCACTCAGTGTGAATGCAGAAGAGAAAAATCAGATGGGTGGTAGAGAGTATAGAAAATTTAAAAGAAAGGGCAAGAGGAGTAATTGAGATTTTAAGGAACAAACTGGAGGGGTGTGTGTGTGTGTGTGTGTGTGTGTGTGTGTGAAGCTTGGCAAGTCTGTTATTTAGTGTCTCTGAGATTTGAGTCTTTTTATTGACCCCTTTTCATTCAGCATAAAGTAGTTACTTGATTGTACGCAGAAGAAACAGGGAAGAAATCAGAGTTCCACCTTTGACGTCTTCTCTTCTGATTCATGATTTTCTCTCTGAAAAACATCATGGCATGGATATTCAGATCTGGAGCCCAATCTTGTTTTTGAACTCTGAGATTAACAAATTGAGCTATTTAATCCCTCCGGAAAGCCCTAAATCCATCTTCCACTGTTATGAACCCCTCATATGAATTTGACTTATTTCCCATCGATATTGTACACAGAATGCTAAAATCCAAAATCCAGCTTCTTTGAATATGCAAGACCTTCCCCAAAGTACTTTTGGAGTTCTATTTTGGTTTGGTTCCCATGACTACGGACTTCCCTGATAGCTCAGTTGCTAAAGAATCCATCTGCAATGCAGGAGACCCTGGTTCAATTCCTGGGTGGGGAAGATCCCCTGGAGAAGGGATAGGCTACCCACTCCAGTATTCTTGGGCTTCCCTTGTGGCTCAGCTGGTAAAAAATCCACGTGCAATGCGGGAGACCTGGATTCAATCCCTGGGTTGGGAAGATCCCCTAGAAAAGGGATAGGCTACCCACTCCAATATTGTGGCCTGGAGAATCCCATGGACTGTAGTCCATAGGGTCACAAAGAGTCTGACATGACTGAGCCACTTTGACCAATGCGGGACTTGATTAAGAGTAAAGGAGTAGGAGGATATGGTGGTCAGGGTCGAGACGCTTTTTAGGAGGTAATCATGACCACCATATCCTCCTACTCCTTTACTCTTAATCAAGTCCAGCAGAGGTCAAAGAATTTTTATTTAACAGAAAATTAAAGGGACTGAGAGGGGAAATGGATCCTATTCGATGGACATGAGTTTGAGCAAGCTCCAGGAGTTGGTGATGGACAGGGAAGCCTAGCATTCTGCAGTCTGTGGGGTTGCAAAGAGTCAGACATGACTGAGCAACAGAACTGAACTGAACTGAGAGGGAAAAAAACCTCAACTTGCTTTACCTGCAGTTTCATACTTACCTGTCCTTTCCCTTTCAGGAATCCATCACAAAAATTTTGCACTTGCTCTAGTAAGACCTCTGTTATAGGCAGTGTATCCCACTTATCATCCAGAGTCTGGTAAATTGCTAAAGCAGGCAGTTCAGACATCTTTAGTTTGAAAAATGATATCGCCTTTTCATTTTGCTTCACTCCACTGTCCACCAGAATAAAAAGAATCTGCAGTTTGGGAAATTTGAAAGAGAAAGATCTGTCTGAGGTCCTCCTTGGAAGAAAGAGACACTTGGTGATTGTTGCTGTTTACACTGATTGAACTTAGGGTCTGTGCCACAATTTAAATATTCATTGAATTAAAATGAATTTCTTCTTTTACTTTGCATTGTTTTAGGTTTTTTTCCTTTAGATCAGGTCTATTTAATTTTAAGAACATAGAACTGGAAGACAGTTTAATGATTAGCTAAGGGAGAAAGTATGGTCTAATGGCTAAACATGGAGAATTCTTTTTAAATGTTGCCTCTAGTACTTTCTAGCTGTCTGACTTTGGGTACATTAATCAGCCTCTCTGAGATTCAATGTTCTTATTGGATTTTGTTGGGGGGAGACTGAATAAGAGAATAGATAATATTTCTAGTATGGTTTTTAGCGTATATAGTAAGTGCTTGATAGGGCTTCCCTGGTGGCTCAGATGGTAAATAATTGTTAACTATTTTATATTATTAAATCAAACCTTCTGCTCGATGAGGAAATCTCCTTGATAACAGTCTAGTTAGAGAGTTATCTACATTTAGTAACACTGAAAACTTCCAATGTTAGGGAAACAAACACCAGAAAGATTTTTTTTTTTTTTTTAACCAAACAACCCTCATCACTGATGTCTCTAGTTCAATGCAGTAGACTTGAAGTAGTTGAGGTTTTACTATTTCAGTGACATAAGCAGAACTGCACAAAGTGGGGAAGGGAAAGAAAGAAATATTTATTGCTTATCCAGTAGACACTAGGTACAAGATATGTGTTTTATGTGAGAAATAAGCCCTGGGTCTAAAACTTCAGAGTTTATAGTAAGGAGTAAATAAATCATGGGGCTTCCCTGGTGGCTCAGTGGTAAAGAATCTGCCAGCAATTCAGGAGACACGGGTTTGTTTCCCTGGGTCAGGAAGATCCCCTGGAGGAGGGCATGGCAACCCACTCCAGTATTCTTGGCTAGAAAATCCCATGGACGAGGAGCCTGACACGACTGAAGCTACTTGGCACAGCACAGATACATGAAGCTATCAAGATTAACAGGTGATTTTTATGTTCAGTCTCTTTGGATCTCTAATTATTTTTTTGTCCAACCATCAATGAATAAAAAAGAAATAGACTTACTGCTAATGGAAGATATGATTAAATACATCTTTAACAGTTTAAAATACATCTTAAGTTTTAAGGCAGAGTAATGGGATTTAATGGGATTTATTATACTCCAGTTCTCACTTCGTTACCTCTTAACCATAATTATTTTCCTCATTTCTCTCACTTCCCTAGCCGCATCTCTCTTTTTCTGGTGTCCTACAGCTGAGTAGTCAAAAAGGGAATCTCCCAGTCCAGACTTACCCTCCCCTGGAAGAGCTTAGCTGCCTCCTGAAATCTGTGCAAGTTTTCTTCAAACTCTGAGGAGGCCTTGCTCATAATCAGTAGAAGATGAATCGGAATCATACTATTGAATAGGCCAATTGCAGTCTGGCAAATTGAAATGTATTAAAGCAGAATGAAAGAGAAAAGGAGGGGAAAAAATATTAGTGGCAATTCAACGACTAGGTACATTGGACCATAAATGATACCTGTCCACCCATCACACCAATGGCAACTCCTACAAGATGGCTTTGGATCAATTTCACTCTCCTAATTTTCATGCAACTTAGTAGATCCCTCATCCCCACACTGAACAGGGTGGAGCTGAGTAGCCAAAGGGATACTGCAGTAGTGATGGAGTGTGAACTCCAAGGCTTGGGTCATAGAAGACATAGTAGCATCTTCTTTGTTCTCTCCTGTATCACTTACTCTCTTATATTGCCCACTCAACCAGCCCTGGGAAGAGATTCACATAGTTCCTATGAAGGAACTAAGTTCTCCTGCTAACAACCAGCACTGACTTGCCAATCAGGTGACTGAATCATCTTGGAAGAAATCCTCCAGCCCCCATCAAACCTTCAGATGATTGCCTCCCTGACCAATGGCTGCAACCTCACATGAGCCCCCGGGATCAGAGGCCCCCATCCCTAGTCACTCCCGAACTTGACCCACAGAAACTGTATGAGATAATCAATTTTTTTCTGTTCTAAGTTGTTACATTTTGGAGTAAACTGTTATGCATCATTAGACAACAAATACACCATGGACTATTTTAGTCACTTTTTTTCAACCCCTTTTGAAATGTGGTGGTCCAGTGGTTAGGACTCCAAGCTTTCACTGCCAGAAGTGTGGGTTAATTCCCTGATTAGGGAACAAAGATCCTGCTGGCCACACAGCACAGCAAAAAACAAAGCAAAACAAACAAAAAACCAAGAGAAGCCAGATACACTTAAAATGGGATTTTGAACCCTTGATAGTACTGTACACTTTTGAGTGCTTTTGATGTGCTGGGTAGTGTTTCCAGGTCTTTACGTATAATAACTAATTTAATCCTCAAAGTCCCAGTTTTATAAATAAAGACATTGAGGTGCAAGATCGCCTCAAGTCACATAAGTGATGAGCTGGAATTCTCAGCAGGCAGTGTGACTTGAGAGTCTGTACCCTTAACCATGAGACTCCTATTCAGCTGATGGCAAAACCTCAACAAAATCAACTCAGCCCTAAGCACGGTTGAGTTAGTCCATCTCAGGTCAGCCGTAAGATAACTGCTTCAGCAGACGGGAAGTTTGGCCCTTTTTTGTGGATTAGAGATGGTGATTTCCCCTGAGGCTGTGGGTGGTAGAGCGGAGGAGACAGCTGTGAGGCAGAGGGAGGAGAGAAGCCCCCTTCATTTCCCTGTTCAGAAACAGTGCTGTAACTGTCTTTATTTTAAACAAAATCCCATTTCTTCTTACCTGTCCCTTCTAAAGACAGAGAGTATTGCTGTTGAACTAGCATGTGCACACACAAAGAGAGAGAGAGAGTGAGCTGTAGGTTAATGAACATTTGGGCAAAGTCCCAGGATGATGGGAACGGGAGTCACTAAACAGGATTCTTCCAGAAGCTACATGCTACCCTGAAGAGAATTTTCAGCTCCACTGGCCAACACGTAGGCAAGGAGGATCCATTAAGTTCTTTCCAAAAACTTTCTCCCTGGAGTTTAAAACCAGGTCTTCAATTTTAAATTTGGAAGATTGGAAATTTAAATAATTGTCTTTTGTTTTGTTATTTAAATTTATAGCAGGCAATCTACCCTCCTAGAACAGAGATAGAGGGTAAATCTCGGGAAGAGTCAAGAAACCAAAGCTAAAGAGTCAAACGATATAGTGAAAGGATAGAGGAAGAGATTGAACACTGCAGAAATGATGAGTTTAATCCTAATAGGCACAGTCCGATTTTCATCTTGAAGCCAAGTGTTGAGTGTATGCATTAACAGTGCATAGGGGGTCAACCACGGGACTGGGAATTTCTGCCCAGTTGCTACAGGTACAAACCTCTGCACCAGACACAGATGAGAAATCGCCATAGTGGTGTGGGCAGGTCTCAAAAAAAGAAAAACAATTCTTTTGGGAAATGAAAAAGTCATGGTAAAACTTGCTTCTTTAGAGAAATTCTTTCCTCATTTCTTCTTGATATGAGTCGGTGTCGCCTCTAATGTAGAACTTAACAAAATGTGTCATTGTTCCATAAGTAAGAGATGGCCCAATCATCAGAACTTAGGAAGGCTAGTCTTTGCCTCTGCCCTCATTCACCTGTGGAAATCCAGGACCCTGGGTCATAAACCAGCGACTGGAAGATCATCTTTTCTGGTCCCCAGTGCACTCCTGGCAGCCTTACAGACATTGACCAGAATGATGCTGGTCTAGGCACTTTTCAGTGCCTTTTAAAATATTGCTGCCAATGCCCCTGGGATGCATATGTTTGCAATCCTAACAGAAGTGGAAATGGGATCACCATTTCATGGAGACAAACATGGTATGAGAGGCTGACAGGAATTTAGTCAACAGGAAGAGGGGTGTTTTCTGTTGTAGGCTATGTAGGGGAATGGAAAAACCACAGGACTCAGTCAGAGAGATCAGTCATGAAAAAAGCTGGGACAAGTGGACAGGGCTGTCACTGAACTACAAATGACAAGTTGTAGGGCTTGAGGAAGTTACTTCGCTTTTCTGAACTCCCATCTCCTCTCCTGTAAAATGGAAATAGACAATATGACTTCATGCATCATCAAATTTTCTGCCTTCAGTGACGTCTTTTCTACTTACTGTGTAATATTGAATGTTGTTTGGAACTTAAGAGTCCTCCTCTATAAAATGGACATAATAATCTCCTCTCCTCTACCTCAAAAAAATCTGTGAGTATTATATGAAAAAGTGGCATAAAAGGGTTTTGTTAGTTCCAAAAAGCATGACATGCATATAAAGTACTGTTATGAGAGAATGTGCAGCATTTTGGAGCCGAGGTAGATCACTGGAAATCAACACTCCATCACTTAATGATGTTAAGTTCGGGAAGGTAAAAGGTAGGACATATAAGGTAATTCTATAAGCTGTGTTAGAAGGCCAGAAGATTATCAGGACAGGTGGACCAACACCTTCACCTAGGTTGTAGACAGCATGAAACAACCAAGAAAGACACCCAGAAAGAAACCTGAGACTCTAGGAGGGTCTAGGCAAGTGCTAATTGTACCCGACTGAGAACTGCTGGTCATGAGTCTGCAAGGAGGTAGACACAGAAAATGGGAATAGGTGTGTAAAAACTTTTTAGAAATTTTACACTGCTGTGACATCCAAATATGTGATCAGTGTTTTTAACCAGCTCATTTGTATTTTACAAAAATATTGGTCTCCAATGCTTTAGGAAAAAAATTGACCTTCAGCATTTTTGCAGTTGTGGCAAGCTTGCCATCTTGTTTGAGAAGCATGGTCTGGAATGCTGGTCACATCAGAGTTGCTTCACTGAACTCTCTTGCAACCAAACTCAGAAATTTTTGATTAGTCACCCTAACTTTGCATTCTGACTCTCTTACTAGTCATGTAACGTGTCATCTCACTTTTCTGTTTTTTACTTTGTTGGGTAGGAACAAGTTTATCAATCTTAAGGGTTGTAGTAGGGATAGGAATATAAACAATTACAAGTTAATTTAATGGTGGTTACTGTTATTATGGGCTGCCTTGGTAGCTCCGTTGGTAAAGAATCTGCCTGCAGTGCAGGAGACCCTGGATCGATTCCTAGGTCGGGAAGATCCCCTGGAGAAGGGATAGGCTACCCACTCCAGTATTCTTGGGCTTCCCTTGTGGCTCAGTTGGTAAAGAATCCGCCTGCAATGCAGGAGACCCTGGTTCAATTCCTAGGTCAGGAAGATTCACTGGAGAAGGGATAGGCTACCCACTCCAGTATTCTTGGGCTTCCCTTGTGGCTCAGCTAGTAAAGAATTCACCTGCAATGCAGCAGGAGGCCTGGGTTTGATCCCTGGGTTGGGAAGATCCCCTGGAAAAGGAAATGGCAACCCAGTCCAGTACTTTTGCTTGAGAAATCCCATAGACAGAGGCGCTTGGTGGGCTACAAAAGGCTTCATGGGGTCCCAAAAGAGTCTGACATGACTTAGTGACTAAACAACAATAACAACTGTTGTTATTGATTAAAAGATCAGAATGCTTGGAGGAAAGGATTTCTCCTTTGAAGGCAATTACCCTCCCTGACACAGGGACTGAAAGGTCTAGAGACAGGGGCTACTTACTATAGCATTGTACTCCGTCACCAAGTGGAGGTTGTTGCTCTCAATGAAACGGCTTAACTTGGTGGCATCCATGCTTTCCATGTCTTCACCCTTTAAATCCAGTTGTTTGTTATCCACCTGGGTCACACAAAAAGGACAAAAGTGTCACTGTTTTGTCATCAATAAATGTTTCTGAACTATTAAACCCAAGTCAGCCACTAACTCAAGCTCCAAAGACAGAAAGGTCAGTGTTCCTGGTTCTCGAGGAATGCACTGTCCTGTGGGTCACAGAGAAGTAAACAGGAATATCCCACAGAATGTGACAAGTATCATCACAGACCTGTATGTCCCCTCAGGAAGAGGAGAAACGCTTCCAGGAAGAGACAGCTCCCAATGAATGGCTAAGACTTGGTCAGATGAATGAGGATGGGGTAGGAGTTTTAAATAAAGAACAGTGTTTGTAAAAGGCAAAAAGATGACAGATGTTCTGTTCTAGAAGCTGCAGTTAGGTTAGCTAGACTATAGCAGTGGATGTTAAGTGTAGTAGGAGAGAGACATGGGCAGTGGGGTGGAAAGTGACTGCAGCTGGCCAGACTCCTCTATCCTTGTGATTTCCCAGGCAAGGATACTGGAGTGGGTTGCCATTTCATTCTCCAGGGGATCTTCCTGACCCAGGGATCAAACCCAGGTCTTTTGCATTGCAGGCAGCTTCTTGAGGATCTGAGCCATCAGGGCAATGGGGTAGGCAGGGCAAATTCCCAAAGAACCTTGAGGTCAAGATAAGCAATTAAATTCTAACCTGAGGGCAAGGGGAGCCACTTACAGGATGAGATTTATGTTTTATTTATGTACATTTCTAATGTGAAATGAAACACACATGCAGAGAAAAGCACAACATGGAAAATATAAAGCTCAGAAAATTGTCACAGAGTAAACAACTGTGGAACCATCAGTAAGGGAAAGACATAGAATATTGCCAGAATGTCTGAAGCCCTCTGTGATCCTTCTACTGTTGGTGTTTAGTAGCTGAGTTGTGTATGACTCTTTGCAACCCCACGGACTGCAGCACACCAGGCTTTCCTGTCCTCCATGATCTCCCAGAGTTTGCTCAAGTTCATGTCGTTTTATAATCCGTTATTTTTCTGCCAATGTTCACCATTATCCTGACTTTTACAATGACTATTTTCATTCTTTATAGCTTTACTACTTAAAAATGCATCTCACTGTTACAGTTAATTTCATCTTTTAAAAAATGTTATGTAGGGACTTCCTTGGTGGTCCAGTGGTTAAGAGTCCATGCTTCTAATGCAGGTGGTGTGGGTTTGGATCCTGGCTGGGGAACTAAGATCCCACATGCAGTGGGGATGCATAAAAAAAAATTATGTAAGTGGAAACAGACTATGTTTTTTTGTCTGTGTATCTCAATTATTTTGTTTTTAAGAGTTATCCATATTATTGCATGTAGCTGTAATATGTTCATTTTTCTTGCTGTAATAGTATCCCATTGTACAAATATGCAAAACCTTATTTTACTACTGATTGGATATTTAAGTTGTTTTCAGTTTCTGGTTATTAAAATAATGCTGCAATGAACTCTCTTGTTCATTTCTCTTGGAACTCATGCCTCTGTATCTATTGAGCATGTATTTAGGATTGAAATTTTTGATTATAGGATATGTATATTTTTGACATGCACTTTGATGTTTATTTGGGAGATAAGGCCAAGATATTTTCTAAAATGAAGAATAATGTACACTTGCATCTGTACTGTTTGAAAGATCCCAGTGCTTCACACCCTGGGCAGCACTTGGTATTATCTGCCTTTCTCATTTTATTCATTTTGATGAATATGTGGTAGTATTTCATTGCGGTTTAACCTCCAATTCCCCAATTAACTAGTTATATATCGTCTTTTTTGAAGTGTCTGTTCAAATCACTTGCTTATTTTTCTATTGAGTTGATCTTTTCCTTGTTGATTTGAAGGTGTTTTATATATTCTGGATATGAGCCCTTTATAGTTCTATATTACATATCTTTTCTCACTGGGGACTTCTATTTTAATGGTGACTTTGTGAATAGAAGTTAATTTCAATGTAGTCATCAACCTTTTCATCATTTTGTTTTGTTTTGTTTAAAATGCTTTGACTACACCAAAGTACTGAGATGCAGAAGTGTTGACATTCACTCACCTGGCAACTTAATCACCTTATGATTTTTTTTTTCACAACTTAAACTTATGAAATACATAAATGCCGAGGTACAGAAAATGTTTGTCTTTACAAAAAGAATCTTGAAAAAAGCATTCATCGAAACCACAAGATATTTTAAAATGTGACTTCCCTTTGCATGTTTAATTGTTTTAAAATTCACACTATTTGAGAGAAAGCCTGGGAGAGAACTATGAAAGCAGGAGAAAAAGTCATCCTAGGTGGGGCCCCGCCCACCCTTCTCCCATCCTTCTCCTCCAGGAGAAAGAAAGTGAGCACAAAGGATTTTTAAAGCTGCATAATGCCCAGGTGATGCTAGTGGTAAAGAATCTGCCTGCAAATGCAGGAGAGGCAGGAGATACGAGTTCAGTCCCCAGGTCAGGAAGATCCCATGGAGGAGGAAATGGCAATCCACTCCAGTCTTCGTGCCTGGAGAATTCCATGGACAGAGCAGCCTGGCAGGCTACAGTCCATGGGGTTACAGAGTCAGACACAACTGAAGCGACCTAGCAATGCCTTCTACGTTTCCTTCCTAAGGTTTTGCTAATTGCACAACCATCAGAATCATTACTGTAATCACAACCAGGGTCCTTTTTATGTTTAATACATCTAAATACTTTCTGATTATTTTTCTAGAAACTTGGAGGCCTGGTGTCTACACCACAGCGGATAGAACTGTGCTCTGAGCCAGAAGCTCCTCCCTCACTGCTCTCTTTTCCAGGCAAACCCTCGCATTTCCGAGAACAGGATGAACAGGAAATGCCAGCTACTCCAGGTGGCTCTGGACTTGAGGAATGCAGTATAGGAGAGGCAGAGTTTGTGAAGTGGTGATAACATTCTCTAAGAAGCAAAGATCTTTCATAAAAGCCACCCTCCCGAATCCTCTCCAGCTGGTCATGGCTCTTTAAATGAAGCATACCTGATTATTTCTCTATTTCTTAAACCAACAAACTCCGGAGCGCTCATATGTAGGGTTGCTGGAAACATTTAAACAGGAAACCTCCCTTCTGTAAAGGGAATTTATTTGCATAATGCCCTGGAAAGAAAAATCCGATCCTGGATCCCAGAGTGGGAGAAAATATTTTTTAATATATTTTTCCAGTTTTTGGAAAGAATTTTCCTTGAAAAACCATATTATTTTTCTCCTCAAGAGGCACCAGAAGAAAAACAGAAATAGTAAACCAGAAGGGTTGTCACCTTACAATATAATTTTGAGGTTCCCTGAGAGTATCAGATGTGGATTATTATATGATTCAGACACTGTATCATACCAGTGGATTTCATCACTCCTTTTCTGTTTGTTAGTATTTCAGCAATACTCTTTTGAATTAATTCCAACAGATTCCTGTAATTAACAACCCAGCTTTTTGTAAAACATTAAAGTTGTTTTAGTTTGCACCAATTACAATGTTAACTATCTTGGCCACCATGGAGAAATCATTTGTTCAGTACATGCCCTCTCCTTTCGGGTTTGTTTTTATAAGCTGCTTGGGTACCATATACTTGGTAAATATATACTTTAGGATTTCTCTGGTGGTCTAATGGTTGGGAATCTGCCTGCCAATGCAGGAGACATGGGTTCTAGTTCTGGTCCAGGAAGATCCCACATGCTGAATAGCAACGGAGCCCATGTCCACAACTACTGAGCCTGAACTCCAGGACCTGGGAGCTGAAACTACTGAGCCCACGTGTCCCAGAGCCCATGCTCCGCAACAAGAGAAGCCACAATGAGAAGCCCACACACCGCAACTAGAGAGTAGTCCCTGCTCACCACGGCTAGAGAAAGCCCGTGCACAGCAGTGAAGACCCAGCGCAGCCAAAAATAAATAAATTAAAATATATACACTTTAGAAAAATATTTTAAAATTTGGCATATCTTATTTATTGCCTTTCTTATCAGTTTATTTTTATGCACTCTGCTCTGATTCTCTGCTTGGCTAGATGCATTTCTTATAATAGATTTCCAGGAAAAATTGTGAAAGGCATGAAAGGATGCCCCTACCGTATTTCTATTACTATCCCACTGGGTCAAAGTTAGACTTCTTCAAATAGAAGTGATGGAGAATATTCAAAATGAGGTACACATTCAAATAATATCTGGGATTCCATTTTAGGACAGGTTCATGGTTTATTCAACACAGGATTAATCTCTGTTAGGGTAATAGTAAGAGTCCTATTGAGAGTGGGGGGCTGTTATGGCCATACGACCCTGAATGCACTGGATTTCGTCTGATCTCGGAAGCTAAGCAGGGTCGGCCCTGGTTAGTGCTTGGATGGGAGAGTGGGGAGGGACTTCACACTAGTGCTAGGACAAGATGTGTCCTCACGGAGACAGGTTGTCATACACAACTTACTATTGCTCCATTTTAATTTTTTCTCAATCACATTTATATAGTTGGCCTGAGCTATTTTTGCAGACTGATGCATTCCGTAAATATAGCAAATGCTGCCTTCTTATCTCTCCCATATAACTGTCAACTCATATTTCCACTTATTATTTCAGCTTATTTCTAAACATGTTCTTACAGTGGAAATTTGCTGTATGGGCTAATTCTGAAATTTCTTTGCCAAAATGCATCATGTATGTGTGTGTGTGTGTGTGTGTGTGCGCGCGCACTCAGTCATTCAGTTATGTCTGACTGTTTGGGAGCCCATGGATCCCAAAGGCTTATTTGCCCATGGAATTTCCCAGGCAAGAATACTGGAGTAGATTGCCATTTCCTGCTCCAGGGGATCTTCCTGACCCAGGGATCCAACCCATGTCTCTTGCACCTCCTGCATTGGCAAGTGATTTCTTCACTACTGCATCACCTGGGAAAACCCAAAATATGTCATGCCTAGGTTAAATCTTGAGAAATAAGCCAGGGGTTTGATTAAATAGTGCTAGGGAGAGAGAAATGGTTTAGGAAAAACATTTTTTGTTTTTTTAGC